ATGGTTATGCGGCCGTGAAGCATCAGTGCTAACAGTGATGTTTCTGTCTTTGATGATGATGATGACTAAGGGAGTTGAGGTCTTCGCGGGCAACTTTAAGTGAGTGCATCACTGCATTTCAGTCTACGGAAGGATACGGTAATCAAAGTGTGTATGAGGGAGCGATATTCGGGGTGCCGTGAATGTCCACTTTTAACGAAAATTCGCCTAAAGGAATCACGAACAGAGGATTTCTTGATGAGAATTTTACAGCTCGTAATATGCTTCCGCGAATTTCAGATTGCTTGGCCGATCGTTAGATCATTTGATGTTGAATTTAGAATTGGAAGGACTTTCGGGTGCTGAAGTCTATAAAAGTTGACAGTACGTGCAGATCTACTGACTGCTGCTCTCATACTTGATGTTTGTTTGGCGTACCTCACCTGAATTGGCGGTAAACATATCTCCCTGCGCTCACGTCCTCCCTGATGGGTACTGTGCTTCATCCTGTGTGCAACGAAAGTAACTTGCGCTGTTTCGTCGCACCTCATTGACTGATTTTCCCTTGCAAGAGTAAAAGAGACCGACAAGCGTTCTGGAATTATTGCAAGCCTTAGTAGATGCTGGTCGGAATGGCGATCTTTGACGTTTGGTTGGCATGCACCTAGTCCAGCTGAACTCAGGATGAGTAATAAAGACCGGGCTCCCTCTACGGCTTCGGAAATCCCTGCAGTTGCATGGAGCAACACAGTGGGAACTTGTCTTCTGATGCTGTAATTCCTGTATTGTGATCTCTACAGAACACTGGATCAATTTTTCGGGACTTGAAATTTGTTACTCGATTGCGTAACAAAATTGTGGCAGTTTGGACGATATGGTGCGAGCTAAACACTGTGCACTGTGACGTGAAAGCTGTACAGTGGCGTCGTCCTAGAACTAAAACATGCAACTCCCACGTGGACTGCTGCACTATTGGGAAAGTGCGCACCACTTCATGCAGGCAGATACCTTGATGCTTACAATCTTCAGTGAATTAATCACTCTCGGGAAATCGGACACGGCCACTTGCATCAATATGATAGGTTGTTGGGGGTAATTTATGAAGTCCTCGAGGGACAAATGGCATTTTTGATTTTATTGACGTTTACGTTAGTCATTCGCATTCTTGAATAGCATACAAACAAGTGGAGGATGTTGCTACGGGCAGTCCGTTAGGCCCAACATTAGCGGACATGTTTGTGGAGAGAATTGGACATAATACTGCTGGTGAAATCGGAAGAACTTAGTTAGTGGTATTTATCTTATTACTGGTTTAGAGCTCAGAAGCGTGGACTGGTAGAGAATTTATTCTTTAGGGCGAAGATAATATACAACCCGGATCGCCTACAACAAGAGAGATTTTTGAAGGAAACCCAGCTGTAGAACGGTTATCCAGAGCTTTTCACTGAAAGCCACTGTGGAGCCGGATCATAAACAACCCCAGTTCACTCATTTAGAGGCGACCACCCTAAAACTGACATAAGACGCATGCTCAGTTCTGCGTTAAAACGCGTCTGTACTGCAGTGAATTACGTCGCATACCAACAACCAAATGTTCTCTGTGCAACCGTAATCTCAGGTTACCTAATCTATCTGCACCTAATCCCCCTTCTTGCTGCCGAGGGGGTCCTTACATCGGTATGGGGACAGATACCTATAACTACTAAGTATACTACTAAGGTGTTGTCAGGATAACCGTCGGGTTAAAGGTCGAGTCACAATCCTGCATCATCAATACCCGGGCATCTTTGAAATAATGGCCATCAGACTGCACCAGTCAATTCCTTCCGAAATGTAATGCACAACACAACCCCCAAATACTCGCCGCATCAAATTAACTCACCCATTCTAGTTATTCTTGGGATAAGCCGAACGCCTAAGTACTCCGAACGGCTAAGGGGCAGCATACGCAGTCCACAAGCCAAAGCTATCGCGTGAATTCGTCACTTGTTATTTAGTATGGTCATATAAGAAGGGAATCCAGTATAGGGTCGCTTGGAAGTACTTGATGTTACCCGTCACAAGGGTTATTAAGAAGTGATCAGTCTTCACGTTTGTTTTTGGTGAAAGACCCTAATGTCACGATGTAGGAATATACATATCATCATCAGACCGAGCAAAGTCAGTGATCACAGTGGTGATTCACTGCCGTACAGTCGCAAGATTTAACCATACTTAAAGCCTTGAACTGAAACATAAAATAATAGGTGGTGAAACGAGCTAGTGCAGACACTCCTAGAACGTCTTGAGGTTTGTACATTTCCAAAGGTTAAATCAGACAATGAGAAAAAGAAACTGGCACCAAGTGTTTCTGGTTAAGTGCAGGGAGAGTCGCAGGAGCCACACTCTGGAAGACGGACCGCACCAGCAACTTCTAAATAATTTATACCTTCTTTCACTCAGTTCTTCTAAGTCACACGTTCATCTCAGGGTTCGAACCATTCTGAAGAATGGCAAGAAATGCCTGTCCCAGTAGACGATTATTTGACATGTATAGCACACGGCTAAGGCGGCGTAGTTGGCGATGCTGAATGTCTTCTGCGACTGAATCGCCTGATGTGTGTCCCTACCTACGCAATCCGATACGAGCATAGGGAATCTTCTGGAGTGCTCCCCATGCACCTTAACACATCCATAGGTATGTGGACATAAGGACCTGGCTGGGTGCGACAGTGTTGCCTTGACACTGGACTGACTGTGATGATGTGACTGATGCTGCTCCAAGCCGGTCGAAATGCTGCTTGATGCAGACAGGTCAAGGTTTCCGGTGGCGCGCTAGGACGACGGGGTCTGATTGAAATCAACGAATATAAAACTTGGAGCTGTGTTTACTAGATCCACTGCGGATACACTTTTTGAAGATGGGCACCATCGTTGGTTGAACCCAGTTGTCTAGAACAGTCGTCCGATGTAGACAGAAATAAGTTAGACGGCCAATGACGGAAGATTTTACTGCCGTTTTCGGACTGATTAGATTGGGAATCACAATCTTGCTTGAGTGGGGATATACACAAGAACACTGTCTAGAGGATTTCATGGTCACAGTCCATGTCTCTGTCAAAGGCCGTAAACCCGGAGGGATTAGGCGGCCAGATGAACTGTTTCTCAAAGTATTCTGCTCTGGTGGTCCTCACGTTTTCCTTTGCTGGATAGCAGATAGCTATGTGATCTCATTCGCGGCTACTCGTGAGCATCAGTACAACTAACTAAGTAAAACAAATCGCTGAATCTTCCAGCATTCGTCAAATTTGTCCACCTGGATCCACCAAGCTCCCCGGGCAATCAATTGTACATGGCGTCGAGTTTGCGGCTGCAACCGAAGGGAATTTCACCGGGGCTTCAAGGTTTGTAACCTCCAGCAAGCCCGTTTTGTCGTCATCCCAAGGCCTTATTTCTGGCGGTGGATCGCTGAACTACAGTGATTGGTTAATAAACGGCACCGGTCGAAAAAAAGACGTTCAGCTGTAGCACCCGAAGAGAGCACGAGGTCCGGAATACTGCCAGATTTCCCAAGCCTAAACATGAGAAGTTGAGAGACAGGTCGGACCTTCTGATCAGTAAATTTGCGCTCCACTGAGCCATCTCGGCATCAGTTGCCATTGACTAAGATCCAATCAGAGAAACTGAAATGCTCACCCGTATTTATGGTCCATGGATCTAACACTCACGGAAGCCAGATCTTATTCCAGGTAAGAAAGCTCGAGAAGTCGATTGCCGACATGAAACAGGCGTCGTTTTTCTATCGTGACTGACTGGAAGCGCCACCTCTACGCTGAAACCCAAAAGTACCTTCGCTAGAGATATTGGACAGCGCTTATTCTACTGAAAGAGGGGTCGGAAATATACCAATTCAAAATCAGCTACAGTTAACATGAAACCTGTGATAACTGATCGGAAAATATAGTCGAGATAAAGATCTATATGTATAAGCTCTAAACCTCTACATGTCGGAGTGGCAGATCTTCCAATGAACCGAAGAGAATACAACCCCGACTTCTATTTCAAAATCAAATCATGTATGCGTGATAAACCTAGGCATTGTAGAATGTCAGTAACCAGGCACGATGTGGGTCATGGATTCATTTTACTCGTTGTGCTCTCGTTGAAGTGGTACCCGAAAATGCTCATCACATGCTATCCTCGTTTTTATACCGGTTTTACAGCACATATCGTTCGCCCGAATTATATGAAATACACGGTTAACTAAAACCCACGCCGGTCAGTATCTTTTGGCTGACTTTTCCGACCTCTGCATGCATAACTAAGCATAACTGGCATGATTGTATCTTCCCATAACAAGTGCGGTCGAGTCACCCATGAGAATGTTGCGTTGTTATGTCTTGTGCACTTGTGTACTTATCCTTTCGGTCAGTCACAATAAGACACTTTGCTAACCAGTGTATCTGGTTGGAAAACCAACCGGTGTTGGTTTAGTCTAGTGACTTATTCAATGTGTCTCCGGGTGACTTAGTTGTTGGTGAATGACACCAAACCATGGCAAACCATAGGAACGCACCAAACCGTTTGAAACACGACAAAAACAATGATACTGAGGATTAATAACTGACAAAAGACCGCTCGCTTCATGATAACTGACCAATTGATAGCTCCTGATCTTTGCACATCGGAAGTCACCAGGTCCTTATTTAGTTATGCAGTTTCCTTACTTACAGAAGACAACACCTACATTGGTGTTGTCACCAAAGGTGTGTCGACATATCCGAGACCATTCAGACCATAGAACTGGATATATTTCTTCCGTGGTACGGTCAGTAAGTTGCAGTGCAAACTATGATACAACACTGCAACTCGGGCTAACCAACTAGTCAGAAATCTTAAGCCGCTTTTTCTTCATTGATAACCTTCTCTATTAGTGAATTTCGCCGAAGAGACAAAAGGAGTACTTGCGCAGCTATGTACACCTGCTGACGCTCAACGCAATGATATGGTATGACACTGATACCCACGCGTCAGTATTTTTCCCGAAACAGTCCTCTTGTTGTAGACGGAGGAACCGGATGCGCCGAAATGGCATGCCGTGCAGGCCAGATAGTGCACTACGACGGTGCACGCGACAGTTCACTCACAAGGATGAAATGGCATAGCGTCAGTGAACTCCGTACACTGGTGGTATTCCACTCAAACAGGTTACACGAGTCTGGTATAGAAATTCCAATGTACATCTAGTATACCTGTATGATTACTCGCTTAGTTTGAGCATTCTATATAGAAAAGCACGTCAGCGTTTTAGTCCTACGTTGTGCACGAAAGATGCCCAACCCAAGTCAGCTAGCTCAGTAGTGTATTTCGTATGAATTCTTTAGTTTTGTTAGCCTACTATTCTCCGCGCCAGATATTGCCGCGGGATCCCAGAGTGCTTCTGAATTAACAAGTTTAATTTACGACTGAAGAAGGAACGCCATCTCCGGGTTGACCAACCCTAAAGTTGGAAGAAAATTATCCAGGCGTATGCCTGGCCGATCCAGGCCCAGGTTGGGGTATACAATCCACGTATCCCGTTTGTGGATTAAACGGCATTAGCAGATAACAGTGAAGATACATAGGTGGACTCCTATGTATTGTATGAACGTGATATGGATGAACTAAGAGTAATTCATGCAGATGCAGCAAGGATCATGCAACAATGTGTGAATAAACAACCAACATTCGGCAATTTGTGGATCACAGGTTAGAAACCAGAAGACCACACAAGTGGGGAAGATGAATGGAAAATACAAGTTCCTTGAGTCAACTTCAATCAAGTGCTTGGCTAGAAGACACGGGTTTTGGCGTGACAAACCAGCTGCCAGTACCGGGGTCACGTTTGTTTCCCACTCTGGCGTTTTCAGCTACTGGAGTTAACTGGTCCCCTGGGTCTAGAATCTCGAGGGGCTTGAATGGTTGCCTACCCAAAAGTGGACGACGCTGAGTAACTCGATTAGTTGCAGGAGCAGTCGAACGCGTCTCGCGATCATGTACTCCGGAATAATCTGAAACATACAAGAAACACGTGATATGACATCATAAAGTTATCGAAATAGCAGAATGTGCGTTACTGATCCCATCAAAATATGTCCTGCTAAACTGTCAGTATCACTATCATGGCCTGAAAGAAATACTAAACAATCATCCCTAACTATATGAACTCCGGTCCGTTGCTCGACACAGGGTGGCCAACCAAATAACTAACAAAACGGGAATTAATTAAGGATTACTGTTGGCTGTCGATAACATGATAGGCAAACTGGTAAACATGATTTCCTAATTGGTACCGTCCTACTTAGTCCTTAGTCCGTAAGTTGCATTGCAAAGACACATCTAAACCCAGCATAACACAATTCGGTCTGCACTGAACACTGAGTCAGCTGGCGTTGTTTTGTTTCGACACACCGGGTAGTTCCTCTGGATAGCCATCCATCGACACTATTCGGTCCGTCGATCATCTGATTTGGTCCCCAACAAAAACCTTGCTTTGAATCACGGGACCCACATCGCGCGGTCACACATGTTGACTGGCTCCTCGAGCAGGATGAGCGGCACTATATCCAGTCTAAGTGCGAGTCAATCACATTGCTGATCAGCCACTCGTGGTCGAAAGGTTGAATGTTCAAACTACTAGCCAGGAGGTCGCGAGTTCGAGACTCCGGAGTATCGTAGGATGCGCACTGCTGATGATTCCCAATAAGGATGAAACAGCTGTACAGTGCTTCTCAGCTTTTCAGCATAGATTGGCACCACTTACAGGACGAAATCTCCCCTAAAAAAGCAATCCGATATCTACAACGCTTGTGATACATCGGTTGTAGAAAAACCGAAGATCATCTACCCCCAGAGGCTATCTCGCAAGTATACAACAACACGCCATAATGGAGTCTAATACATACAATTCATTGAGCCCCAATTCTAGGCCACTTTTACACCACAGATGACACAAATTGAGGAACATGGTTTGGGCCCTCGAGTTTCCTGTACGGATTCCATCAGATACACCGCCGTCAAAGTTAACACAACCACCGGGTTATGTAAGATTCTACAAAACGTCCAGTCCTTATTGGATTGTAAAGGTCATGTTCGGACTAGTTGAAGACGCTGCAAGATACGGCTGCCAATCGATATCAGCAGCGTTCTTGTTGTCAGTTTCTATCCAGATCCCCTGAATGAGTGTCTGGAGGCGTAGGCACCTGGGAATGATGGCATTAAGCTAGCACTAAGTTTCTTTCCCATCCACTTTTATTCTTTTTACCACAATAGGGTTTTCAAATAAATCCTGGTTGTACGGCGGCGAAGCATCAGCACTGAACACCGATTTCATGCTGTCAATGAGGATGAATACGTGTTGGGAGAACGCACGCCCTGAGGCACTACTTTGGACTTCCTGGGCCCAAAGCGTATGTTGAACGATGGTGGTCAGTTTATTCGGAAGTGCTTGTGTTTCGTGTTCGTCTTCGAAGATTAGGTCGATGTGGCCTGCGTATTCCAGAATGAAAAAGTCCTCACCGGCAACGATTTGAACGCCCTGAAGATCCTCCAGCGTCCTCTTCATTATTCCGTCGGGATGACGGAATTGAGAAAAAACGAAAAGAAGTCCCTTGCTTTGTAGTTCTTATTCGACGTTCGCTAGCCGGTACAAAACTACTCCGCAATACTCTAGTTGAGAGGAGCTGGATGACATCACACAAGCTCAACGAGTGACGGTAGTATGTAGCAACCATGGATATGCAATAATACTGAAGGCCTAGCGCGATATCCAGAAATGAGTGGCTGATCAGCAGTGTGACTGACTTGCATTTGAATATGTCACGCCAACATCGTCCAATCACTTAGTTCACATCATGTGATCCTGTGTTAACTGGCCCATCAAGTGACGACTTCTGGATGGAAAGCCAATACGACCTGCCGGGTACTTCAATAACTTAGGCAGGGCAATGAACTGTCACGTCAAAAGGATGGTGTCATAAGTCATCAAAATGGCCAGCTGCTCAAGCGCAATATGATGGGATATTTAAAAGTAACCATCGTTCACAAAAGACCTTAGAGGAAAACCGTTTTTTCGTGGTGAATAGAAGCCGGACAGGCGCGAACAGTCTGACTTTTATAATCAAAAGCTATCGTGCGTGAAATGAGCTGGAAAGATTAAGAAAATTCACGGTATGATGAAAATCAGGTTGAACTTGTGTGGCAGGTAGCTGTTCCCCACGCTGTGAACCAAAATCCTAAAGCCAACTGAATGATCTGCCAAGTGCAATTGCCACGGTCAAAATGATCAGAGCGAAACCTCTCGCACGAAAGAGGCCTAATTCCTCCGCATTTTCCCCTCAATATCCGCATCACCCCCCATTTACAACAGCTCAATTCCTGTCCAAGTGTGATTAATGCGGTCCGTCACGGACGGAACAAGGTGAGACAGGTGTTCCTTATTCACATCGCTTGTGACCCACCAGATCAGCGTTCCAACAGATTCGTTAAACGAATATGGAAAAACATGGATGCATTTTTGAGTCCAGCTACGTACGGATTACGAATTTTTGTAAGCAGACATTCTTCCCCACTACCACTCAATAATTGGTTGGAAAAAGTTTTGTAGTTACAGTTTCAAAAGATGAAAGAAATGGGTGCTGGTGGTGTTGAGATTGTAACAAGGTTCGATGGGTTGAGATATCAGGGTTCCTGTGGAAAAGAGGAATGTATTACCGGAGTAGGACAGTGTCCCAGTGTAGCATCTAACGACGATAAAGCCAACGTTCAAGAAACCATAGAAAATCACGAGTAAGCAGTGCAATATCATGAGTGAAGGTGGCGAAAATAAGAAACTCGACCATATCAAGGGAAACATGTAAGCAGCTAACCGTCCGATAAGACCTTTAACACTATTTTCCTATAGGATCCGATCAGCACACTATTGAAACTAACTTGACTTCATGACGATTCTCCCATTCATTTGCTTACTCTTTCCATGTAATTTTGATCCGCTTTTGTTTTACTCATCCGTACCGGCCACCCAGAGCTCAGTGGTTAGAGCGCGGATTTAATGACCGGGAGGTCTGTGGTTCAAACCCAACCTCTGCACCTCCACGTCTCCTATCTAGGCTTGGGCATCTGGTAATGTCCCAACTTTCGTGTTTTCTTCTGGTTGCATGGCAGTTAGGCACCGAAATAGTGCTACAATTGAACGATTTTTTGCCCGACACTGGTATATTAGCCTGTATGTGTTGTGAACGTACGCAGCTGACCTGCTTACCCATGCGTGTTCTTGCCCCGCTTGTTGAGACTGCCTTGTCTTGTTGTCATGGGTTCCCTGTAATCACACCGCCAATCAGAATCACGAGACTGTCCTCGGAAGGGACGATCGCAACCCACACTACAGAGCCAACATTCCGCTCGCCTTTGTTTAGTGTGCGGGCCTTGACACGGCACTGTGCCGGTCAGCGACAGACTTGTGCACTTGTTGACGCCACGAACGTGGACAATTGTTTTGTTTTATAACTCTGCTTACCTTTGTGTAAGTAGTACCGTAGGCTTTGGCTACGCCTAAATGTATACCAATCTCACTGCATTTGTTAGGGAGATACAGCTTACTACAAAGAGCGGGTGGTATGGATATCCCGATGCAACGGTATTGTCCGCAAAGGTATTGTCGGAATACTGTACTACGAAGCTTGTGTCACCGAGATAGGGAATCGGGGTGAAATGTGAAAAGAAAAGGCGACAGGATGGCTTCGAGAGGCCCGCCAAAGTCATCTACAGTGGTGGTTGACCATTTGTCACCAACCTTCCTGTTGGCGTTGATTCCACTCACAGCTACGTGTGTCCATCTACTGCTTCATACAGAGGAACCAAGTTAACTGCCACCTTATCTGAATTTACTTAGGAATTCCAAATCAAATTCAACCCACCTTTTACTTCCACCATTATTTCGGTTTGCCGAATTCCAGGTGTTGTAGGGAACCCATTTTTGTCAAGTAAGTGTGAGAGAGGCGGTTTAAGTCACTGTGGTGTTGCTGTTCTGTTAAACTGTCTGAAATCAAACGGAAGGTCACGTGGACCCATCCTGGGAGGCGAAGAACGAACAAACTTAACGCAACATCCTTCGTTCCTTTCAGCACCAAGTCCCTTCCTCGTCCACTCTTTTCCTTTCATTCTTGGGCATGAAACATAAGTAGATAAACTTTGTGGTTGTACAGCAGTGAAGCATCAGTGTCAACACTGATGTCACTGTTTTTGATGGTGATGATGGTCGACTTGCCTGGACAACGTGCATCCGAAACATTTCTGAGGGCGACTAATCCAGCCACAGGAGACAGTCGTCTGATTTATTGATTTGGTTTCACTGACAAAACAATATTGACAAGATAGTCCATGCAATAACGAATATTGAAAAAGAAAACGAGATCAATCCAACGATACGGCGGTTTTGTCGAGTGCATCTGCGAGCATTCCGTACTGAGGTCTTCGTATAACCCTCAGGTTCAAAAAAGGGTCAAAGGCACAGCAGACGAAACTGATCGGCTGGTTACGGCCGACTTTGCCTAATTTGTTTTATAACTCTGCTTACCTTTGTGTAAGTAGTACCGTAGGCTTTGGCTACGCCTAAATGTATACCAATCTCACTGCATTTGTTAGGGAGATACAGCTTACTACAAAGAGCGGGTGGTATGGATATCCTTATGCAAAGGTATTGTCCGCAAAGGTATTGTCGGAATACTGTACTACGAAGCTTGTGTCACCGAGATAGGGAATCGGGGTGAAATGTGAAAAGAAAAGGCGACAGGATGGCTTCGAGAGGCCCGCCAAAGTCATCTACAGTGGTGGTTGACCATTTGTCACCAACCTTCCTGTTGGCGTTGATTCCACTCACAGCTACGTGTGTCCATCTACTGCTTCATACAGAGGAACCAAGTTAACTGCCACCTTATCTGAATTTACTTAGGAATTCCAAATCAAATTCAACCCACCTTTTACTTCCACCATTATTTCGGTTTGCCGAATTCCAGGTGTTGTAGGGAACCCATTTTTGTCAAGTAAGTGTGAGAGAGGCGGTTTAAGTCACTGTGGTGTTGCTGTTCTGTTAAACTGTCTGAAATCAAACGGAAGGTCACGTGGACCCATCCTGGGAGGCGAAGAACGAACAAACTTAACGCAACATCCTTCGTTCCTTTCAGCACCAAGTCCCTTCCTCGTCCACTCTTTTCCTTTCATTCTTGGGCATGAAACATAAGTAGATAAACTTTGTGGTTGTACAGCAGTGAAGCATCAGTGTCAACACTGATGTCACTGTTTTTGATGGTGATGATGGTCGACTTGCCTGGACAACGTGCATCCGAAACATTTCTGAGGGCGACTAATCCAGCCACAGGAGACAGTCGTCTGATTTATTGATTTGGTTTCACTGACAAAACAATATTGACAAGATAGTCCATGCAATAACGAATATTGAAAAAGAAAACGAGATCAATCCAACGATACGGCGGTTTTGTCGAGTGCATCTGCGAGCATTCCGTACTGAGGTCTTCGTATAACCCTCAGGTTCAAAAAAGGGTCAAAGGCACAGCAGACGAAACTGATCGGCTGGTTACGGCCGACTTTGCCTAAACCAGCGGCGAAGACTTGCATTTCAAAAGCATCAATATTTCCCTGGCGTGAACAGACCCCAGCAGGTAAGCTGTTCCTCAGGCAATATGCGTAAATTACATAGGTAATGGTTCGAAGTGGACCCTGGTGACTGCCATCGGGGTTTGCGTGGACCGCGTAAGATCATCTGGTGAGCATTCGGTTCCAGTCCAGATAATGCCAGGTTTGGACGTGCCTTAAGAGGCTTGCATTTGTCCTTTTATGGATGCGAGACCTGACCACCAAAGCACAACAACAGACAATCCTGGTGTCCGAAAATTATTTCTGACAGGGTGTTCAACGAACCAGTCTGGCATAATTTTCGCAATACATGAAAAAATTTGCAGCACACATCCAGCCACCTTTTAAGCCCAGACCCGGCGTTGGTACTGTCAACCTAAAAAGTAGGTAAGCAGTTATATACTACCGCGCTAGTACATCCCAACCTCATATGTACATGGTTACTGGAATTTTATGGTATGCATTACCAGGACTGTAACCACCTTTATCATAGTCTGCTGTTTACCGTTGGGAACACCGGTGGACAACCGAATTTTGTTATTGGTGTGCAGAAGCCGTTGAAGATTACCTTCCATTCTTCATCGAAAATACAGTAGATTCACATGACGAGTAGGTTTTAAGAACAACATCGTGGAAGGGGTACTTAAAAACTCGGAGGTTAAGGTGCGAACCTACTGACCGGAAGGTCGGTGGCCCGAACCTAACCTCGGCTCCTGTCTAGGCAGTATCTCAAACCCCGTGCTTCCTTCGGGTGGCATGGCCGAAAGGGCACTACAGCTAAATGATTATTATTATTACCTTAGAACCAAAATGAAGACAGGCCAACCATGTCTTCCTTGCTATCGATTACAAAATAGTTAAAAAACGAACTACCTAAGCATACGGCTAGAAACTATAAGCCATGTTATCCTCTTGATTGGTGATCTGTTCTTCATCAGTAATCAGTCTGCACGTCCTCGCGGTCACTTCTGAGGATTAGTGTGTAGAAATATGCAAGAACAACTTGTTCAAAGATTTTGCCTTCTCGATAGAAATAGATGAAACCGGATAAAAAGATAACCATTCAGTACCTAGCCGCCATGCCACCCAAAGGAAGCACGAGGGCTGGGATGCTGCCAAATGAGCCAAACCTAGACAGGGGAAGTCGGGCGACAGAAGTTAGTTTCGAACAAAATAAAAAAATAAAAATAGTTTTGAACAACGGACCTTCCGGTCAGTAAATCCGCACTTTAACCACTAAGTCATCTAGAGCTCATGATGGATAGTGACAGCCTCATCTCTAGAAAATACTAATGATAAAAAGAAGGCTACAATAAGTTAGAACAACGCATCCTACGAATACCGAAAGTTACCGAACAGTGAAAGCTGCAAAATACACGAGGGGTTCAAACGGAACGCTTTAACATTCAAACTCACTTTGTTGATGACTGCGATAGGTACTAAACTCAGTCGAACCAAACTCCAAATGATCCGCTGGATATGACTCACGCAGGGCGGCTGCAGATGCTTGGGGAGCGTGGTGATCCTTACCAGTTGTAAAAGGACGAAAGGGTGGCCTTGAGTTTCTGACCCGATGGGAAGATGGTTCCTGCACGAGGCGCGTACAATTGGGATGCTGAATATCTGGACACTGCAGCGGTCTGGTTTGACTGTACAGATCAGGATTTTTCGGAACGGCAGGTATGGAGGAGTTTCCAGTGTGCGACCGTGACAATTCTGAAAACTTGTGGTCACCAAAATTGCAAGCTACAGTTCGGGTCCCCAGACCGGGGTCGGTAAAAGTTTGTCGTGAAGTTAATTCTGATGCATCAACTGAGGTAGTGGTGGAAGTTGCTTGTCGAAACGTTGAATACCTCTTCGAGGCCGTCCCGACGCGGGTGTTATCATCCCTATGTGAGAAAGCCGGAGTCCAACCACCTCTAGATTTAGGGCCAACATGAGGTGCTTTTCCTGGAGAGGAGCTATAACTCAGGTTTGGGACTACTTTATTCGACCGATCGTCGGAAGCACAAGGATCGTCATTGCGAATGGTAGGGTATTCCATTGTAGAATCACTGACAGCTGAAGATGCATTGCCGAAATTTGCGTTTCGACTAGCTCTACGACCTCTATTCCCCGATTCACGGTGGTAACCTGTCCCATCTTGAAGCCTCGATTTCGGGAATTGATTTGAAGACATTTCATTCGGTTGAGAAACGGTATTGGGTATCTCATTCTGCTCGAATTGATGTCTAATGCCCAGTGACCGTGTGAAGCGACCACGTGTATGGCCCACGTTTGGATCCATACGCTTTGTTTCACGTTGGTAGTCCGCAAAATTCTGTCGGCGCGGTCGTCCGTGGCTAATGTGGCTCTGACCGCGTTCATCAGAATTGATATTATGTGGGGCAGTATCATCATGAATCGGTGAACTGGTAGGTTTTGTGGTCAATGCCTCTCGGTTGATGGGGTGTTCAGCGGATACTGATGGTGAGTGAGGTTCGTTTTCGGGTGCATTCGAGTCAGCATTTCCCTCCCTAATATCGTAACCATATCGCATGATGAGCTCGCGACTTGACCGAGGACCCTGCTCGTAATACCGAAACATGTCGTGCTGCCATTTACTTCTGTCTGCCCGGCTTTTATGGGAATCGGCCTGCGGTGAGGTTTTACTATTTTCTGAGCTGCGGTAATCATGCATAAAGTAGGTTCCAGTTCTGGGAATATATGCAGGATTCGCCTTATCCTGGTCAGCATCAAGTCGTTCATCTACATCCCCAGTATCACCGGCTTCTTGCTCGTTTGCTTGCGTCAATTCTGGGCTCAAATTACGAGATCCTACTGCCTTGGTTGCCGGCGGTGCACGACTATCAGAAGTGCCAATCCCAATATCAACAGCGTCGGTGTATTGACTCGTTGACTTATGCGATATTTCTGAGTATAGGGAGTCATCTTCCGAAGGGCTGTCACTTTCTTCAGAAGGATGTGCTCGAAGGCGAGATCCGAGTAGACCATCGTCATCATCTAATATATCACTCGAGCTTTCGTCATGATCAACCACCATGTTATCGGAGTCGGGAACGGACAGTACGGATGCTGACTCGTTGCACGGTGGTTGTAGGCTATTAGGATCCTCCACTTGTGTAGTCACAGGGTTTTCGAAAACTTTTGGGCATTCTACCTCTGTCACATCTGTAATGGCAGCCACACATTGTCCTTCTTCTTCTTTCCGTCCTAAAAGTGATTGATCTAAGTGTGGAGGAATATCCTGCAGAACCTTGCTTTTCACGGCTGACGTCAGAAGTATCGATGGGGAGTGAGGAGGAAGATAAGCGCTTTCGTGAGTGACCGAATCTTGTGGTGTTTCGGCTACATGCAACCTGCGTAGTGATGAACAGCACAAAACTTGTAATGATTTAACTTCTGCGGAATCAACACTAAGGTTATAGGGGATTTTCTCATCAGATTCCTCTGACGCAACATTAGGGCTTCTTATGGGGTCACCACGGAGATTGGTTAACTCATTAGAGTAACCGGCAGCATTGCAACCACCCAGAGCGGGCTTCCCAATCGCTCTGACCTCCAGTTTTGATGACTGCCCTTCTTTCAATCCGCCAAACTCAGTATTTCGCGGTTTGATATCCAGACACATTGACAACTGGGTAGACCGGAGGTCCTCGAGAGAGTGAGAGCAATATGTTTCAGGGGCAAACTCAACAGTACCACCATGATGAAGGATATCGAGAGAACGAAAGCGCTCCATATTCTTGACGTATGCTCCGAAGACCGGGATTCGGCAGTAGCAGCTGCAAATGGCAGAGAAGAGGTTAGTCGTCAACATGTTCTAATGACTCGAAAGGGTTCGATTTGGTCGGACTCGAAAGCAAAACATTATTGGACGCGGCACCAGTGGATTTGCGCAGTAACAACTTGTGAAAAACATATGCTAAACAGCTACACTCCTAAACACCTCATTGGCTCTAAAGTAGCAGGCCTAAAACAGGGCGACTGTCTTTACCAATTAGAATTTTCTGCAACACATGCTTAGACGCGTCTATCCTTTAAATACCTGATTTCACAGAAAGATTAGGGTGGAGGCGATGGAGCTATCAGCAAGAATAAGTCCATTCATTCTACAACAGGAAGAAAATGTGACCCAAATGCGCTGTTCCGTGTTTCGCCCAGTCTTCGGTGTTCCACGGTGGACGCCGGTTAACGCAAGGATAGAACGTTGCGTGGGTCCGGGGAACTTTCAAACGGAAGGGTTTCCTCGGGATTTCTTGATGCTACAGAAGGTTGTACTGAAACGTGTTATAGCACTCCAGCATGAGAGCAAGAAAATGTGGAGACTTCACAGTTGCTGCTTCCCAGTTTCATGATCCAAACTAATGAATCCCGTGCCATATGATCTTAATTGTACGGCCTAATCACTGCAGATTTCAAGAAGTTCGGCACCGGTTTGCCATGCTTGTGCCAATCTCATAAAGGGGGCGAGATGGCCCAAGTGGTTAGAGCGCCAATTTACTGAATGGAAGGTCCGTGGTTCGAACCCGGCCTCCGCCTCTCGACTTCTCCTGTCTAGGCTTGGGCAACCTGGCAGTATCCCAGCCCTCGTGCTTCCTTCGAGTAGCATGGCAGTTAGGCACCGTAAGGGTGCTACAGCTGAACAATTAAAAATTAATCTCATAAAGACGATTTGTCACCAACATTGCGTCCTCAGCAATACGTCTCCTGTAACGGAATTCATGATTCATGAGGAGTGCAGAGAACAGATAGAGAGAGAGATAGACAGAGAACAGATAGATAAAAACTCATAACGGCCGCTGTAGCACATAGACCACAAGGCTAGTTTAAATGTCTTCACTACATCCCTCGTAGGCGCAGTCCGCCTGCCACGAAGGAGTTCCTTTCCGCTCCTGATCGGGAAGGATGAACAACCAATGTCACTGGTGTTGGTGTCATCAATTCCTACGTTCCCGAATATTCTGAGATACAGACCTGCGGAGGCAGATATTATGAGATGAGATAAATAGATAAAATTCACGGCAGAGGTACCAGTATCAACCGTATTGCTGTCAATGATGACAGCGAACAACGAACCTTCGTGGAATATCGTAACTGGCAACATTCTACTCTAGCCGTCCTCCCTCATTTTCGCTTAAAGCTCCTCATTCCCAGTAAAAATCAGCTCATTTATGTGCAGAACGTACACCAAATGTCACATGGTGACATACAAAACTGTGAATGCCAAAGCAGGCCTTTCGGAAAGTAACTTGGCCAATATTTATCAGTTTGGACCTATAAAGTGCGTCTGCAATTGCATCCATGGGGAGTCACATACGAAAGATAGGATTATTTCAAGAAAGCATTTTGGATGCGGTTAAATCTATTGTCCCTCAGGTATCCAATTATGCACCTGCTAATCATTGGTCACATACCCATGGACGGGACATGAATGAAGCTAACCGACAAACACTTAGCTACACATTTTCGATCTCATCTTGAGGATAGGGAAAATGAATGTCTGAGCTAAAACTTCACTGTAATCTAAGAGTTCAGCACAAGCCTCAGTAATAGAGCTCACCAACACATACATTAGGCTCCACAGAAAGAGCGTAGCTGATTGGCATTACGGACCCAGATAGAGTAGTTTACGTCTCGTTCAGCTGTAACGCCCTTTCGGTGCCTAGCTACCATGCAATCCGAAGGAAGCACGAGGGCTGGGATACTGTCAGGTTGACCAAGCCTAAACAGGGGAAGTCGAGAGGCAGAGGCGGGGTTCGAACCACGGAACTCCGGGTCAGTAATTTCGCGCTCCAACCACTTGAGCTATCTCGCCTCCATAGACAACCTCATAAGACGACTTTTCCAGCACGGCACACAATTATACCTTGTGTCCACTTCTCCGCACCGCGGTGACAGTCTTTCGCCAGCACAGATGAGCCGGGTGTAAATATGTTATTTACAGCACCGCGATGTCGGTTGAACTGAACTTCCATATTCGTGTTTCTACCGATTGACAAATATGGTGTCGGACGGATGACGTCAACAGGTAAACGGATCTTCCGGTTCATAAGTATCTCCGCTGTGGACTTATCATGTGGAGCGTTAAAATTTGGTGTCGCCCTGTAACTCATCAGAAGTGTCTTGATGATTTCCGGTGAGGAGTGCGCGTTTGAAAGAGTCCATAAATCTTCTCACTTGTCTAGTTGATTGTGGGTGTAACGGTGGTGATCGCACATGCTGTCTGCTATTTTCTTGACAGAAAGCGGAAAATTCAGCGAACGTGAATGCACTGCCGTTGTCAGAGACAATGATATTTGGAACTCCAAAGTGGCCAGACACCTTGTAGTTTTGAAGTGGTAGCACAAGCAGTAGCATGGTTCGTGTTAAACACTTCTGGCCACTTGCTATAGGTGTCTAACAGGATCACATATTGTTGGCCATTGATTGGTACCACAAAGTCAACATGAAGTCGTGACCATGGAGTTTCTGGAACGGGCCATGAACACAATTATGTTTTCCGAGGGGATTTTGCAGATAGTTGACATTTTTAGCACTTGAGTACAAGTTTCCCTAGCTGCTTATCCATGCTCGGCCAGTATACATAACTACGTGTTAGCGTCTTCATGCGGCTAATACCGAGATGTCCAAAATTGCTTAAGGACATTACTAACCTCGGAAAGTAAGGATCGACGTTGGCAGAACCGTTGAAGTTGTTCATAGGAGCATACTGAAGGCCATTGTGTGCGACGAAAATGGAATACCTTTTGAAGTAACAGATCACGAGCAGTGGCGTCGCGAACCATGGCAGAAGTAACTGGAAGTGCACGGGTTGTAGTAGCAAGCACTGCTTTAACTTCCGTTCCCACCGTTATTGCGGCGACAACAGCATCTTCGGGTTGTTGACGCTGAGGATCCATGAGCCTTGATAATGCATCAGCTCGGCCAATAGCATCAGTAGACTGGTACTTGATGAAGAAGTCTTAGCCCAGTAGCATTGTAGTCCAACGTTGAAAACGGTTGGCCGTGTAAACAGGGATGCCTTTCTTCGATCTAAAAACGTCGAGAAACGGCTTTTCGTCGGTGATGAGCGTAAAATAACGTCTGTAGAGCATCTTGTGACTAGGACCTGTGAGAATGATGTCATCCAAATAAGCAGCAACTCCTGATAAACCGTTTGGCATGGCATCCATTATCTGTTGAAATATTGCTGGTGCAGATTTTACCACCAAAAGATAGACGGTTAAATTGAAACAAACCGCGATGTGTGTTAATTGGCAGAAGTTCTTTGGGGTCATGAGAGACTTCTATTTGAAGGTAAGCATCAGCGAGATCCAGCTTTGCGAAACATTTTCCACCATTGAGGTTGGTGAACAGATCTTCCGGTATCGGCAATGGATAGTGATGAGAGTCTAACACGGCGTTCAATCCAGTGGAATAATCAGCACATATGCGCACCTTTTCAATTACTTTTTTGATGATGAATAGTTTACTTCTGGGAACGAACAAGTTCATTCTCCACGGTACGGCGACATATGGTACGGGACGTTTCGGTCTGGAAGCTGGTCTGAAATCGGGTTGGAGTTTAAGGCTTGCCTTGGTTTTCGTACAGCACCCAAGGGCACCTTGGAAGAAATCGTTGAATTTTGTGTAGAGTGTGTTAGTAAAGTGCTCTGCAATGTCTGTGGAGGATGAAAATGTCAGAGCACTGCAAGCAGATAATAAAGGTACATAGAAAGGATCAAGTTTCTCTCAGCTCCAAGGACGTTCAAATTAGGACAGTCATTGATATGACAAGTTCCCGAAAAGTGTAGATTGTTGAAGGATACATTACAAGCTAAACTGTTCTATTCGGCTGCTTTGTTCGTTACACCCACAATCAACTAGACAAGTGAGAAGATTTATGGACTCTTTCAAACGCGCACTCCTCACCGGAAATCATCAAGACACTTCTGATGAGTTACAGGGCGACACCAAATTTTAACGCTCCACATGATAAGTCCACAGCGGAGATACTTATGAACCGGAAGATCCGTTTACCTGTTGACGTCATCCGTCCGACACCATATTTGTCAATCGGTAGAAACACGAATATGGAAGTTCAGTTCAACCGACATCGCGGTGCTGTAAATAACATATTTACACCCGGCTCATCTGTGCTGGCGAAAGACTGTCACCGCGGTGCGGAGAAGTGGACACAAGGTATAATTGTGTGCCGTGCTGGAAAAGTTGTCTATGAGGTAGACGTGAACTACTCTATCTGGGTCCGTAATGCCAATCAGCTACGCTCTTTCTGTGGAGCCTAATGTATGTGTTGGTGAGCTCTATTACTGAGGCTTGTGCTGAACTCTTAGATTACAGTGAAGTTTTAGCTCAGACATTCATTTTCCCTATCCTCAAGATGAGATCGAAAATGTGTAGCTAAGTGTTTGTCGGTTAGCTTCATTCATGTCCCGTCCATGGGTATGTGACCAATGATTAGCAGGTGCATAATTGGATACCTGAGGGACAATAGATTTAACCGCATCCAAAATGCTTTCTTGAAATAATCCTATCTTTCGTATGTGACTCCCCATGGATGCAATTGCAGACGCACTTTATAGGTCCAAACTGATAAATATTGGCCAAGTTACTTTCCGAAAGGCCTGCTTTGGCATTCACAGTTTTGTATGTCACCATGTGACATTTGGTGTACGTTCTGCACATAAATGAGCTGATTTTTACTGGGAATGAGGAGCTTTAAGCGAAAATGAGGGAGGACGGCTAGAGTAGAATGTTGCCAGTTACGATATTCCACGAAGGTTCGTTGTTCGCTGTCATCATTGACAGCAATACGGTTGATACTGGTACCTCTGCCGTGAATTTTATCTATTTATCTCATCTCATAATATCTGCCTCCGCAGGTCTGTATCTCAGAATATTCGGGAACGTAGGAATTGATGACACCAACACCAGTGACATTGGTTGTTCATCCTTCCCGATCAGACTTTCGGCGACAACTATACTTGATCCTGTTCTTACACTAGAGATTCATGTCGACATATTTGAATTAGCTGAAAAGCCAGAATCTCCACAGCCGATAAAGAAACCCGTTATTTGTGCACTTGGAAAATGGACCGACCGAATACGATGGCCCATGATACCAATGCAAGTCATCCCTCAGCAGCAGTCCTGCGATCCAGAACTCCAAAGGGAGGTGTTAGGAGGACTACCTCCAAACGAACAAATCCGCTTTGTCAACTATTTTGTCCTGTATACCGAAACATCGTTTCTACATTTTAGCCTATCGCTGACATCCTATTGGACTGTAAGCAGATCCACTTGTTTACAGTATAACGCTCTCAAAGTCGTTTGTCTTCTTTCTCGTAAACTGACGCGTCTGGCTGATACATTATCCAAGAGGATATAACAGAACCAAAAGACGGGGTTTCCAGAAATCATCATTGTCGGTAGACTCATTCTAGAAAGTATCTTCCCAGCAACCGTACCGTGAATCGAATGTGAGATAAGATGCCTGTTCGTAGGGAAATTCGGTAACAGGCGCTGCGACAAAATCGGCAAAGGATAGTGATGTGCCACTTTGAGATGGAACTGGTGTCCCAAGACTGATAACTCGAGATGAAAGAGGCTGGAGGGACTTTTGTTGGTTTAGTTAATTAATGTGAAGTTGAGACCGCTTTCGCACCGCTTGCTGCCGCGGGGAAAGTTGGGGCGAGATGGCCAAAATGGTAAGAGCGCGAATTTACTGACCAGAAGGTTCGTGGTTCGAATCCGACCTCTGCCTCTCGACTTCCCTTGTCTAGGCTTGGGCAATCTGGCAATATCCCAGCCCTCGTGCAACCTTCGCGTGGCATGCCAGTTAGGCACTGAAAGGGTGCTACAGCCGAACGCGGGGAAAGTTCAGTTTTCGTTATAGATTTTGGAGTACATGGAGTGGACTTTCCACAAATATTATGATCGCTTAAGTCTGTCTTGCTCTAACCTTCACAGGAACTATTAAGTTTTTCAAGCATGTATTCGACGGGCGAGGCTTCGCGTCAAAACAGTTACCAACACTACAGAAGCACCAAGCGGGATAATGAAGATTGCATCACTTATGTTCTCATGTCCCACAAAGAACCTCGGTCTCCGGTGTGACATGTGCGTTTAAGTGGATGTTAGGGCTGGATACCAAGCATATGAGGGCACCCATGGTACCAAGAGCTTTAAGCTTCAAACAATACCGTCCAGTCGAGCGACGGCTCCCCTCAAACACGTCCTCTGCTGTGGATCCAGACAAGACCCATCCCCGACACACTGAACGCTTCAGGCCGGTTATTTTTGAAGACGGTAGTGCTGTATACTTTGTATTGGGAACAAATATCGTGGCAGACAGACGGTCGTTGGTTTGTTGAATTTCACTATCTAACTGCAGGCTTTTCATCACTTACCTCCCGACCTAAAGCTGCCACCTTGA